GGTCCCAAATTTGGCTACGACCCGCACTCCGGCCTCAAGACTTCAAAAGCGTCGACACAAAGCGCCTCGGCGCAAAAGACACACCAGCAACCGGCCACTAACAACTCGATACCGCCAACCGCGCCAATCAACTCCCTTCCACTACGTCCAAGTAACGCAGACCACGGCGCAAACAGACCGTTAAAGCCCTCGGGCTATAAAGGGAAGAACTTTAATCCTAACTACGGAAACAACTTCAAGAGACGGGACTGGTAAGTACCATTCCTATTCCGTAACCTCATACCCCATACCATCCTCTCATTCACACTCAAACCCCCCCATCCCGTCACTAGAACCCGGCAAATATCTACCCAGAGCCGAACAGCAGTTATCACAGAGACGGTCGTAACCCCAGATCACTCCTACACCCCCCCTTTTTCTCGATCTCCTTTCATCACTTCTCAGTTCCGTAACCGCACCTTGATCTTTAGTTCCTTACCTCCTCTATCAACCCAGATTCCTACCCGTCCTCCTTCCCCCACAATACCCAAACTGCACTAAAGAGCGCACTTGTATCTAGCCCACACCATACAGTCTCTAGTGTGCAAAGTAAATAATGAATGAAACCCTGACAAGCTATTATGTGTGATCCACAACAGTGCCGAGCCATTCAGTGCTTCAGAACCACCACCCAACCTTGAGGTGGTATCTGACCTCCCAAGTACGGAAGAGCAACCGTCATGGCCCAGTGAGATAAAGTGCGAGATGAACATACAAGAATGGGAATCAGCACTGAAAGAAGCCAAGCTGATGGACAAATACTCAGATGTCATCCACGGATTCCGCCACGGATTTGATCAAGGAATTCCTAATCACAATCTAGGGCCCTCTATTCCATACTTCACCCCACCGAACCACCAATCGGCTCTGCTAGCTCAAGAAAAAATCGAAGCCTCGATATCAAAAGAAATAGAAGCTGGGAGGATGTACGGGCCGTACACACACGCCCAACTGATGGAAAAATATGAATTCTTCAGATCAAATCCTCTGGGGGCAGTGGTGAACGGCGACGGATCAGTCAGGCCCATAAACGACCTATCCTTCCCCCACAACGACCCCCAGTGCCCATCAGTCAACTCGTTCGTCGACAAGCTAGACTACGCCACGACATGGGACGACTTTGAACGAGTTTCCAAGTTCTTACGCAACCAGAACGAGCCAATTCTCCTGGCCCTCTTTGACTGGGAGAAGGCCTACCGACAGATCCCCACCGCCAAATTGCAATGGGCCTACTTAATGGTCAGAGACTTCAACGGCGGCATACTCATTGATACACGAATCGCATTTGGCGGCGTAGCCGGTTGTGGCTCATTCGGGAGACCAGCGGACGCCTGGAAGGAACTCATGCTACATGAGTTTGACCTGATAACGGTTTTTCGCTGGGTCGACGATAACCTATTTGTGAAACACCAGGACTCCTCGGTTGAAATGGAGCAAATAGTCCAGAGGTCTGAAACCCTAGGGGTAAAGACAAACTCATCTAAATACTCCCCGTTCAAAGAAGAACAAAAGTACATAGGCTTTATATGGAACGCGCCGCGGAAAACAGTCAGATTACCCGACGACAAAAAGTTCCAGCGCATACAGCAAATTAAAGAATTCCTGATACCTGGAGCCGAATTCTCCTTCAAACGAGTGGAGGTAATGGTAGGTCGCCTCACTCACGTCTCGTACCTGCTTCCTCAACTCCGATGCTACCTCAATAGCCTGTACCGTTGGATGAACGCCTGGGTATACAGGAGCAAAGAACTACCGGTCCCGGAGGACGTCAGACGAGACTTGGAAGAGTGGCTGAGCATAATGCTCTCCTTCAAGGAAACCCGAATGATCAGAAACCCAGATCCAACTGAAATCGGGTGGATGGGAGACGCATCGACAAGCTACGGCATCGGTGTGACCATAGGCCGATACTGGGCCCAATTTCGACTCACCAAACAATGGAACCATGGACCCGAACCAAGGCGGGACATTGCTTGGCTGGAAACAGTCGCGATAAGATTAGGACTGATCGCCCTTACCCAACTAAAGATCAGACCTGGTAAAACCATCATAGTGTGGACGGACAATACCACCACGGAAAGTGTAATATCAAAAAGGAAGGCTAAGAACCCAGCGGTAAACGAAGAATGGAAATTGATACAGAGATTATTGGTGGAGATGGAGATAGATATAGTTTCAAGGAGGGTCAGGTCAGAAGACAACGTAGCAGACGGACTATCCCGGGGGGACAGGACCGGTAGAAACACATTGTTTCAACTAGCTGTACAAATCCCATTAGACCTAGAATCAAGACTGTACCAATCCACTTGTTAAAAAAAAAAAAAAAAAAAAAACCTCTCCCCCTCCTTGCTCCAATCTCCTATGATACCCCTTAGCTCTGTCCCCAACCACATCTTTGTACCTAAGAATTGCCATAGGCCTCAATCGCAATACACTCCAACTCTTGATGCTTGATCTAACCAAAGTTCGCCACCTCACGAGCAACGGGTCTAACCCAAAGGAACCGTCAGCACTAGACAGGCACTACCTACTTGGATACAGATGGAACACTCTACTCAGCTACAATGCTGCCGTAAAGAAATACCAGGTGTTCGCCAAAGAGACTGGCAAAGTACCCTACGCACTACCCCTGCTCCCAACCGATATCTACGAGTTCTGCTGTTGGGCCGGTAGAACGGCCGAGGGCTCCTCAACACAAGTCGTCACGGCGAACACTCTCCGAAAATACTTAGCCGGAATTCAAATGTGGCACACGTACCACGACGCGACCTTCCCAGAGCAAACTAAGCTCAAAGTTGCAACGATGCTCAAGTCTTCCGCGTATCTAGATGTCGAGGCGCCCAAGAAACCTCAAAAGAGTGCGGTCACCGTTGCTATCCTCATCAAGCTGGCGGAGGTTCTCGCGACCGGAGGACCATTCCAAAGGGCTCTCTTCGATCTCTGCGTAGTTGCTTTCTGGGTGATGGCGCGCCTAGTGGAATTAACATACAACGATGAGAGAGGACCGCTTAGAGCACAGGCCTCACTCCTCACAACCGATGTCCAACTGGGACTAGACGGAAGTCATGGGTACGCACAGCTCACCATCCGGGGGGCCAAGACGGCCAACCCAGGAGAGGAACAAGTAATCCATCTCAGGAGGCTACCTCACATGCTGTGCCCAGTCCTAGCCGTCAACCGGAGGCTCACGGAAGCCAGAGCAAACGGAACCCAGGACAACGACGGGAGCAACTCGCTCTTCGGCTTCTCAGAGCCAGGCAGTGGCAGACAACATATCACAAAACCCATGGCCACTCGGGCCCTAGACAAGATCTGGAAAACTTATGGCTTCGTAGGGGTGTCCGGCCACTCCTTTCGGGTAGGAGGAGCTTCTCTCCAGCGAGCGCTGGGGATGCCCATCGAGCTAATCTGTTCAAGAGGGCGGTGGAGCTCCGATTGCTATAAACTGTACCTAAGGGACTTCACGGACGACACGCTAAGGTCCACCATCGCGCTCTTGGACCAAACTAGAAGAAGCGTGGCTCGTGTGAACGAAGAGACCTCGTACTCAAGATTCCCATTGTACACTCTTCCCCCTCATCTCGTAATACAACCAACCACCCTACCCCCTTGTGACCGGGTTCCTAGTGTGATGGGTCGACTGAGCGGGCACCGCTAGGCTCCTGACCTACCCAGCCAGTAGAAGGTGGTCTGGCGGTTGCCCCCACCCCTCCGGGGGTGTCTTGTTTTGCTCAG